CCCCAAAACCCCAAAACCCCAAAACCCCTGCATTAAGATATTTTGTTGAAAATGATCCTCCTACTCAAAAAAAGCCTCATTTTTCTCTTTGTTCCATCCATCCTATTTCTCTGGCTCTAAACCTCATTAACCCTCTTATAACAGCTGGATGGATGTCTTTTTACCCCTTCTAGTGCTTACCTTGCCACTTATGGGCACTCTCTGAGCCCAGGTTGCTTCTTTACACTGCTTCTCTCCTTCAGGTGCTTCCTGCATTCCTTCGGCTGTTTAGCCCCTTGCTTACTTTCTTGAGGGTCCTCCTGCCTGTACTGGTTCCTGATTTTAGTTCAGATAATCTCTTTAAGAGTGTTCTTCTTTTTGACCAGAAGGCCGCTTTTGTACTTGGCTAGAGCTGGAAGTTCCATCCTCAGTTCAAAGTCTGGACTTTTTAGCCCAGAAGTCTCATAATCATCTTCTTGAAAGGGGTTTTGGCCTAGTGTTTCAACTGACTTTATCAGTTTTAACTTCTTCTTTTGGCTTTTATTAGGACTTCTGAAAGATTTCAAAGCATTCTTTGACTTGCCTAAAAGAGATTGAGGTTAAAGGATTTGACAAACTAAATAAGCCTGAAAGTATAGAGAAAGGAAATTATACATAACAACCTGAGTTTTCTGTAGGATATGAGCATATATGCCAAATGAAGAGAGATTCACTATTTTTAGACACCAAAGTCTGAGATTAGAAGTAGAAGGCAAGAATTCCTACTTCTCTACTTTCGGTCAATGTATCTCGATGAAAAGCAAGGTAAAAGTTTAGTAGTTCTAATATATATGTCATCTTTCTTTTTAACTTATTCTTATAATTTTTTCTGTTTAATGCTTTAGTATTATCCTTACTCATTCCTTTAGTGATCATGCCATCGATATTCTGGAGAGAATTCTTCATACTCTGTCTAAGTGGGTTCAATGGCTTATTTTATCATATAAACATTCTTCAGTTGGGGCTTTTCAAGAGGCATCCTACCCCACCTGTTCTTATTATAACTTTTAAACCTGTCGTTTTGAGTACCAATTTTGGAAGTTCTTAAAGGAATTTGGGGCAGATTATTCCCAGGGTCTTCATAACTAAAAAATTTCTTGATAAGTTTATCAGCCTTCTTATTTCTTGAGGTTTCTAGCTGCATCTTTGACTGTAGTACTAATGGCAAGGCTGAAAGAAAATCTTCTTTCTTTGTAGAGATGATTTTGCTCGGCTTTTCGCTCTTTCTCAAAATTTCTCCACTTCTAGAGTCCTTCTGCTCTGCAGAAGGACTCACATTTTGTGGTTCGATTTTAAAACTAGGCGATGAGACTTCTGGCAGATTTATATCTCTAGGAGAGCTGAGAGAGCTCACATCTTTTGAGAAATTACTTGTTTGGATATTCTTCGTGTTCTTTACTACTTTTGGACTGTTCATTCCGTGCTCCTTTCCTAAAACTTTAGGGAGATATATACTAGAAGGCGATTTTTCAACAGACAAAGAATGATCATGGCTTGATTGTTCGTATTTTGAGATCTCTTCTTCGGTATCACTACTAAATATGATTGCATATCGTACTTTGATGAATCATCCTCCACACTTTCGGTTCATGAATCCTCCTCTTGAGTGTCTGAAATAGGAGTGATTCCCTACAAAACTTAAAACAAATACTTACTTTCTGAAGAGCTTCATTAGCTGCTTTCAAGAAATCAAAATCAATAATTGAAGAATTCTTTAGAGCATTTCTCTTTGTATTAAGTTGTGTGATCAGATTCTTTGAAGGAATCTTCAGGCCTCTTATCATTGATGCATCAGCTATAACGCTCATCCTATTTTTGTCTTCTATGCTTGAGGAATTGTTCCACTTCTTGTGTCTCAAAAGTTTTAACGAATTTCACTTGGGAGACCCTTCTTTTCGCTAAAGCCAGAGGTGCCTCTTTTCCATGCATTACTTCTTTGTAATTTTTAATCTAACTTTTAGACGAATTCTTACATTAAATTTGTCTCCTCCAACCCCCTCTTCATCAGAGTCTATTTTATTGATAGAGCTGCTGATAGCCATGCTGAAAGGATTATTGAAGCTCAATGATAAGCCTCCGCTATTTGAAATAACTTGGTCTGAGTTCGATCTCATTACATTTCAGGAGAAATTTCATCCTCTGAGCTATAAAAGACAATTTCTGGCGCACAGCATGGAGAACTTCCGGTTTGGTCCGGCTGACAACTCTGAATAGCTCTTCTTTGCCAATCACTCGAGCTTTGCCACTTTTTGAGATTCACTTCACTGTTGTGAAGTAGCAACCTGGGAGGGTAGCTGAATCAAACACGCTTTCTATGAGTCCTATAGACTCATATCTCTGGTTATTTGAGATTTTTATTTTGAGTTTCTTAAATATCTTCATTCTTTTATAAAACATTTCCTTATTGACTGGATCAACAGCAAATGTATAAGGCTATTGGGTAATTAGCTTGTAATCAATTAAAAAAATTACCTTAGAATCTGGATCTAGAAGGGATTCAATAAATGCCTGATCTTTGTCGCATTGTATTCTCAGAAAATCACAGACAATTTTGGTATCCTTGACATAAATATTTTTGGTCATTTCATATTCACCCTCTTCTAATAGGATAATGTCCTCTACTTGGTCTCCCTCAGAGATAAGGATCTGACCCCGAACGAGCTCTCGTGATGTCATTGGGTATCAGAGTTTCTGTTTGGTGATTCTGGTTAGGCCATGCAGGAAGGCAAAATTTGACAGAAATTCTATATCCTTTGCGAATTTATTTTCTATACATCTTCCCCATAACTTTATTGAAATGCTCTTTTTCAAGGATAGCGAATCTTGTATTCTCTGTGCATAGGATAGTCGCAGCTCTTGGCTTATCTTCAAGAAGTGCTAGTTCTCCAAAGCTTGCTCCAACATCTAAAAGTATGAGTAACCAATATGACTAAAAGCTGGCATACCTAGTTGGACAACTTCGAGGATAAAATTTCACGTAATATATCTAGTATTATTGTTCTTGCCTTTCTTTACGAAGGTTCTCTCCCCTAGAGCTAGGATAATGTAACTTACTTATTACATCAGCAAAATCTTCAAATTTCGGGATCCCATCGGAGTAATTATGTTGAATTTCTGAGATAATCTTGCCTTTCATTATCTTTTTCAGACTATCTATGTTCAACTTAAGATTTCTATTTATAGTCTTCAGAGACAAGTTCTGGGATCATCCCTTGGACTAGCTCAAGGACCTCTTGATACTTCTCATTTTCAATGACCCATTCATAATTTTTGGCTAACAAAGTGAGCAACTCTTTGAATGTGAAATCCTTTTCGATGATTGATGGGACCCTAACTGACACTTTCCCCTTTAAAACTATATTAACTTGTGAAAAACTCCTGAGAGGAAGAAATAGAGTTCAAGTGTTTACCTATATAGAACTTTGTGCCTAATTCACCGAATTTCATGACAAAGTCGTTCTTCTTCAGTCCTTCAAACAGCATGGAATTGTAGATCATTTCGTACCCAAGTGCTTCTTTTGATTCTCCTAGACCTTCTTGAGCCAAATTACTTTTCTCTAGAGCTTGGTCTTCTTGTTTTGCTGTGGCTTTTCTTCTTGAGCTTTCTCAAAAACTTCTTCAAGATCATTTTTCTTTAAGAAGGTTTTGATTCATCTAATTTTAAGTTAGAATTTGGTTGATGCAATAAACCACACATATCTTTATTTGGAAAGAACAACTGATGAGTTCTGCATAGCCTGCTGATGGTCATCAGCTTGCTTTTCAGAAGGATATCGCAAGTGTTCAATAATTGAACACCCACAAATTTGTATTTTTGTATCAAAGCTTCAAAATGTAAATTTTACCATAACAGTAGATGGCTATCTAACTAAAGGTTATAGTTGTTGTTTCTCCATAGAGAATGTTCTAAACAACAACCAGCCATTGATAACTTTGTGCTCTACTCTAAAGTCCATTAGCTCAATCTCCATATGCAAAATCAGGCCAACCAAAATCATGAGAATCCTCTAGAATGTGGCATTCACAAAATGAAACTGCTTTTTCTCACAAAGCTGCTTACTTAAAAATAATTTCCTTCTCCCGTATCTTCTGTGTAACTTTAGTAAAGGTTGAAGTTTTGTTATTTCTCTTGAAGGACTATAAGAATTATTTTAATAGTCATAAATAAATCAAAATATTTAAAAATACCAGAAATGGCTCAATTAAATCCCCAGTTCTTGCATCTGTGTTCTAGAAGTATATGGGCTAAGCTAGTGAGTCCTTATAGACTAAAAATCCCGAAACTGGCTTTTAGATAAACTAAAATTATTAAAAATGCCTTATGTTGAACTGAGAAATTTATAACTCTTTTTGAATAAATTTGGAGCAGATTTACCTTCATCCTTAAAATCTGGGGCAAACTTTGAAGGGCTATTTTTACTCTTTGATTGCTGCTGCGAAGCGGGCTGAGGAGTAGGAATAACAGTAGAGTTACCGATATCACTCTCAAGGACACTCTTGGCTTCTTCAAGATCAGGAGTTCATGGTTTTGGAGTTCCTGGATTGGAGTTAGCGTTCATGAAATTATTCCAAACTAAAAGAATTAATTAATAGGTTATTAGTATGTAATGCACAGAAAAGTTATCTTGATAAAACTTCATACTTTTTGTAGAAATATAAATATATTTTTATAATTTCAAGATTTGGCTTTTATTTTGGGGTTTTGGGGTTTTGGGGTTTTGGGGTTTTGGGG